GGTTGATGGGCATTTGGGCTGTTTCCAAGTTTTAGCTATCACAAACTGTGCTGCTATGAACATGGGTGCACATATATCACTGTTGTATGATTCTTTTAATTCTTTGGGGAAGATCCCCAGCAGTGGAAGAGTGGGGTCAAATGGGACTTCCAGTCCTAGTTTAGAAGAAATATCATTTCCTCGAAATAACTTATTAAAGTGTTCATATGGCTTTAAAAAAGAGTATTTGGATTAAAAGCCATAATTTTGTGCCTTAAAATATGTGTTCTGAGATAATGTACAAAATATTCCAAATAACAATCATGAGTGAAGACCATATTTTGTATATTACAAGAATAAACAAAAGCATTTATTGTCATCCCTTCCACACAAACAAAAAAGTAAATTTTTCTTGATACTCATGTTTGCCTGGCTTGAGATCTGCTTTGTGCTTTCATTAGGATTTCTTAATGACAAAAAAAGAACCTGTTGGGTAGAGAGGAACATAAATGCAGAGCCCTGTTTTTTATCCTTCTGTACAATGCCTGTCACCTTTGCTATTTCCACTAACATATGTGAGAGGTGATGTTCAAACTTTAGCTTGCCCGGGCTGCCCTGAAGGAAGAGGAATTGTCTTGGGCCAAGTATGAAAGACAATTAATGTATATAAGTAGCAAAACTTTGTTTTTTTGTATTATACTATAACATTAGCATGAATTAATACAAGCCTAGAATTTAATAAACAAGAAAGCTTTACATTTCTGCTTAATAACAAAAAACTCCTGTGTTCATAAGCACACACACATGCAGGCAGGTTGAAATACCGTTATCAGTAAACACTGAGTACAGGAAGTTGCACAATGGCATGCAACATCTGATACACATGGATTTCGACTGGACTGTGTGTGGCACAGAGGTGGAGTTAGCACTGCACTGTGGCCTTGTTCAGTTGTTGCCTACACTGTCCACACAATGAAGACATGAAAATAAGGCTAAACATATTCAACATAATGTTAAAAGCTTACAATTTTATAGGGCCACGTTACTAGCTGTCCAGGGCCACAGGTTTTAGACATCCCTGTTTTAGACATTCTGTGAGGAGTCCAGGCTTCTCTGCACTTCAGGACATTGTTGCTTAAGGTCATTCTTGGAGATTATCCCATACTTTCTCCAAGGTTAAGATTTGACACGTTGATGCTTTATTTCATTTTTCTTTAATCATTGGCCTGTTATTTTGAGGTGCTGAGGAAAACCTGGATGGGAAGACCAACTTTCTAAATGGTTGGATTCTTTTATTTATTTATTTTAATGGTAGAAAAGTTTATTTGAAAAAATAAAAGTGAAGAGTGGAGGAGAAGCTGGCTCTGCAGAGTGAGCTCAGGCCTTGTAAAAGAGGAAAAGGCAAGATAGAAGTACACCCTGGAGGACGCAGGGTGGACTGTTATGAAGAAAGCCATGATAATGAGCTTTTCTTGGCATCTGTATCCTTTTATATTGTCCAAACTCAAGGAAGCCTGTGAAAACTTCTACATACAGGTCCTGAGAGGCAGTGTTGCAATCCCACACCCCAGGGTGATGTCAGGTCTGGGCCATCCTATTGAAAACCCACTTAAGTTCTTGAAGGGCTTTGGGAATTGTGCAGTGTCACACCTACTTCCCCAGCCAGCTTTGGCATGCCCTAATCTATTTTATTTCCCCTTGAGAGACACAGATCTCCGTAATTCTTAATGGGGGGCTGAGGATGTGGAGATCTCGGTCTTGAATAGCTTCTTCAAGCTGGAAGTGACTGTAGATTCTACCTAGATGGGATTATGTGCTCTCCAACTACCTCAGGGTGCTGGGGCTCACTGGCTGGGTTGAAGAAAGAAAAACCTATCAGAAAACAATGAGAAAAGTTAATAACCATTGAGCTTCACTGTTAGCCCAAATGTGAAGAGGAGGTCAAACTTCTGTGCTTCCTGTAGCCGCACTGGAGTTTTATATTCTGAAGAGAAATCTCTTCCAGAGGCTCACTGGAGTAGATTTCTCCTTTTGGGTGATCTTGTTTTTTTCAGACAGTTCTGATGGGACTGGCTTTATTCTAGAAAGATGAATGCAATTGTCTGTCTCTGCCAACCTTACTGCAGTGGATGTGGTAAGCATTACTGAGAGGGCGCTGTCTTAGTTCCTTTTCTCATTGCTGAGACAAAATACTCGACAGCCAAAGTTAAAGGAGGAAAGATTTATTTAGCTCATAGTTTGTAGAGGTTTCAGTCCACCACTGGCTGGCTCCAAGCCAGGGTGGCCTTGCAGAGGAGAAAGTTCTTGGTGGGCAAAAGGTAGCAATGCAGCAAGGGGCAACCACAGTTCTTTCTATCCCTCATATGTTATTCAGGCTACTTAGGATGGGTAGCACTCATAACCTTAATCCTAGTGCCCTTGATCCTAGCATTATACCATGTCACTTCCAGCGTCATACACTCTAGATCCAGCCACTTCTGAAAAAGCCCCACCTATGACTACATGAGGCTTTGGAGATTTAAACACAAGCTGTAATAAGGGCCCTTCCATTTTGGCTGGTCAGCAAAATGTCCCCTCTCTCCAAGTTTTTAGGAGCACTTGGTCTCCAGAACCGATAGGGTGGTCTGTCTGGGGCAGGATCTGGGAGGACTGTGTGCCCATACATTTGGATAGCCTGTTGTACTTAGACTAGATTAATGAGATACTGTAAGAGTCTTATGGCTCTGGATCCACTATCATATTAGAGGATAGAAATGGCTTCCATGTAACATCTCAAGTGGGCTCAAACTTAACCCAGTTTTGGGCATGTTGTGAACCCTCGTGAGCAGTATTGGCAGCAGTCAGAGCCAGGACTCAGACTTCTCTTAGCAACATTTTGCCAGAGCTTGCTTTAGGGTCTGCTTGGCTCTCTGTACCTTTCCAGAAGAGTGAGGCCCACTTCCCATGTAGGATTTTTATAGCTTCTCATTATGTCCCTTGAGAAAGGACCAAAATAGATCCTTAAGAACTGGGAATAAAGCCTTCTTGCTTCCCTATCAGCTTTTTGATTTCCCAATGAATTTTTAGACATTTCACTTTTGTACCCTTTACAGTGAATGACCGAAACCTGCCCGGGAAGAAGGAGCCAGTGCTTTTAATAGTTGTACAATTTTCTGCCTGTGCTTTATAGATGATTGACAAGGCTACTTCCACCAGTGAACCACACCTCCTCAGGATTTTGAAGGGGCAGGTCACTGATGTCCTGCCCTCTTGCATAGGTCTGGGAGATAACTTGTTCACAAAGAGTGGCTAACAGAAATGGTTCACTTCTGGGGCTGTAGGCATCAAAGAATCAGGGTTAATAATAGTGTGGGTTTTTATAACAACCTCAGGGGTATTGAAGAGCATGGATCAATACTTAGTGAGCTGTTTCCCTGTTAACCACAAGTAACTTTGTCTGCAGAATAGCTCTGACCTGATGGGAAGTTATGACTTCTAGTTTCTGTCCCAAAATTAACTTTGCAGCTTCTTCTGTTAGTAGAGCTGCAAAGAATCTCTGATTAGGGGTCCCCTCAACCCCAATTATGGCTATAGATCCAAAGGAGTGTTTTCTATAGAAGTAAGTCAAAATAGAATGAAGTAATTGAATTGGTTCACCCATGAAGTCTAAGATGATCCAGGGTTCCTCGGAGGAGATGGTGATGTCTGTGGATGCAGGCATTACAGGTTCTTCTGGGCTTCTTCAGTCATCAGAGCAGGAAATAAGGGTTCTGGGTGATCTATCCTCTCTTTGGGAGTAGGGACAGTCAGACCACAAGTCAGGCACATTTACCTGCCTCACATATGGAGCAGGGCCCAGGCAGAGGGTTGGTACAATCTCATGCCCAGTTTCCAATCCTCTTGCACTTGAAACAGGACCTCTTTCTCCAGCCATCCCTGAGTTTTTCCTTGGACCACCTGGGTAGATTTAAACCATCACTAATTACAACAGCCATAATCCTAGCCCTTCTCTTTTGTTCCTCCTCTGGGTCCTGATTGTTGAACACAGAAAAGGCCATGTCCAGAAACTGGACCATAGGTGTCTGTGTCCCCATATGAAGTTTTTTAAACTTATGCCACATATCTGGGGCTGATTGACAGATGAAATATTGTCCCACTAGTGCTTACTCTCTCTGGAAGATGGATATATAGTAGTATATTTATAAAAGACTTCTACTAATCCGTTATGGGAGACGGCTGGATTTCCTTTGCACCCTGTATGATCCCACTCACTGTATCATAATGAACAGACTTTAATGTACCTCTTTATTCCCGTGGTAAGAGCAGCCAGCATATTGGACATCATTTCTATTTCATGACCAGCCTTATAGACCCAGTTTGGTTCTGTTGAAGGGAGAAAAAGCTGTTCTAAGGTAGTTTCTTTCCCTTTTCAAAGCATATTGCTCATCTGCATAGTTCCTACCCTCTTGTAGGATTCTTTGTCTTTCATCTGGGATATAGCAAGTGGTCAAGATGAAATGGCCATCTAGTTATGATAAATCAAAAGCAAGGATCAAAGTTTGAAATCCAGCTTCAAACTTACTAGAGTCCTCTGACAGTTGCCTTAGTCATCCTTTGCAGTACAGGACATTGGCAACTGAAAAACAGATTTCTCTTAGGGGCAGAATAAGTTGTGAAGTTGAGTCCAGTGGCACCTGGGTTCACAAATTCAAGCCCCTCCACAAATCTGGTTGCAGAACTCACTCCATGACTCCAGCTTCAAATGAACCACAAGCATAGAATATGTGTGCTTGCAGTTCAGTTGCAGCCAGAATCATGGAACAAACTTTGGGACCAGAACCATGGAAAGAACCAAGTCCATGAACTGAGGCACCACCATAGTAAGAAGCACCACTTCAGGTTCAACCTGCATTGCTTAAAGCTGTCTGAGAAGCATGATAAGGGGGCTGAGGAAGGCTGAGTTCCCCTGAGGCACTAGGCTCTAATGGAGTTCCTGAGTCACTTGGAGGGGATGGACTTGATTTATTGACCTGAGGACTATAAAAAGAAGGTTGAGAAGACCTCCCAGTCCCATCAAACAGCTCAGAGAGACCCACATCCCCCTGAGACACAAGTGGGAGGTCTTAGGACCACGTCTTCCAGTATATCTTTCTTCTCCTTGGGGGCCACTCTAAACACCGTATCTGAGCATTCCCTTTGATAGTCACAAAAACCTGAACATAAGGCATTTCATTCCACCTTGTATGTTTTAAGCAGAAACGCTATAAATGGAGAATAGTCTCATAGTATAAAACAATTAAGTACCATCACATACCCATCTCTAACCACCACCCAATTTGTACTGAACCAAACCATGTTGCAATAGTAGATAAGTTGTTCCTGTTTTAGATTGTCAAGATCAAACCTTTCCCACTCATCAAGAATATGGCCTAGTGGCAAACGTGGTGAAATCCATGTGGTAATGAGGTTCAAGAGATTTCCCATTGGCTTGGCTTGGAGCCTATAGAGAGAAGGAGTCAACTAGGTCTTGGCTCCTTCAGATGGCATCCCATGAAGAAAGAGGAGACCCCAGGGTTCCACAAAGCATCCCTTGTGAGACCCTAACACAGACTAGACAGATGTCTCTGTCCAGGTGATGCCAGCATCATTAAGCACAGAAGAAACCCCCTGATTGCTTTTGTCTCCATATTTGTACCCATTAACTCATTAGGGAAAAGGGGGCAAAGTCAACTTGTTGCCCTTACCTAGTCCTTTAACTCCCATGATGTGAGGGCATAACTTCCCCACGCCAAGTTCCCTTAGCCAGTGATGGTCCAACTTGCATTTTGAGTCCTTTGACGATTCTACTTAAGCAGAATGGAGCCAATTGGGAAAATTGTTTCTTGTATTTACTCTGATAGTAAAAAGGCTAAGAAAGGGGATGGCTCTGTTTTTGTGTACTCACAGTTTTTTCAATTAAATTTTAAACGTTGTCCATTCTGCTCAGGTTATCAGGCATAAGGTTTTAAATTGCCTGCACTTGAACATGGAAGAAATCCAGCCAGGATGCTGTAGCTTCAGATGGGATTTAGGACATGGAGAAAGTGGGTCAGCTAAAGCTGGCTTGAACAGGCCTTCCCCGCTGTTGCCCTCCTTCAGCCAAAGCCTTGGGTGTTTCCTTTTAAAACATACAGACTTTTTATTTTCCATGTGGAAAAGACACATGGCAGTGGCAGTTAAAGTAAATAAATAAAAAAAAGAGCTTCCTCCTACTTGTTCTCCAAAATCAGGGACTTGGCTCATAAGGCCATTTAGAAGAAAGAAAGAAAGAGAGGGGGGAGGAAGGAAGAAGAAAGAAAGGGAGGGGGAGAGAAAGAAAGAAAAGAAAGAAGAAAAAGAAAGAAAGAAGGAAGGAAAGAAAGAAGAAAGGAGAGAGAGAGAAAGAAAGAAAGAAAAAGAAAGAAAGAAAGAAAGAAAGAAAGAAAGAAAGAAAGAAAGAAAGAAAGAGAAAAAGATGGTGGCAGTTGATGTAAGCCCACATCTAGATGTGTGAATCTATGCAGGCTCTAAGCCTGTTTATTGGTGCCACCCACACACAAGATGAGTCTCCCTTAATCCTACTGTTTTACCCTTAATCCCAGCATCACATAAACTGAGAAAGAAGCACCCAGGGTGGGGCATCCCTAATCCTAGCATCATACCAAAACACAAACTTAGAAGAAGAAAAGCCATTTACAAAACTGGAGTAAGCAGAGACCAGGTTAATCCCCCCCACACACAAGGATAGCAAATAAATGCAACACAAACCAAGAAAAGCCACTTTGAAAAGTGGGGTAAATGGAGAACAGGTTAATTTAGTGCAAGTAGCTAGAAGGAAAAACAGCAGCCTACATTCCCTTCCCCTATCCCCATGGCTGGGCCAGGAAACCCATCCCTGGTGCCTTGAGAGGAGTCCCTGGATTCCTGGCTTGGGGGAAAGAGTGAGGGCAAGAAGGAGTGAAGAAAAGAAGCCTCACCAAGAGAAACAAAAATTGTGCCCAATATGGGCCTTACCTTGACTTTGGTCTCCAGTTCCTGAGCTTTACTCCTGGCTAGCTGTGGCAAAATGTTTCCTGGTGGTCTCTTTCTAAAAGCGACTCATCAAATAAACGTTAGCAGGTTTTGTGGTGCTTATGTCTCCTTTTGGAGCTGGTTTCCAGGTTCTTCTCATCTTGAACAAAGAATTGGACAAAACGAGTGAAAAATAGTAGCAAAGTTTATTTGCAAAAGGAAAAGTGAAGAGTGAGGGAGAAATTGGCACTGCAGAGAGAGCTTGAGCTGAGTAAAAGAGGAAAAGGCAAGATAAAAGTATACCTTGGATGATGCAAGGTGGGCTATTGTGAGGAAAGGCAAGACAGCTGGTTGAGTTCTCTTTTTTCACCTTTTCTCAGTGAGAGAAATGGAGAGGGGATGAAAGGCCCTGTCCAGGCCAGTCCTCAGTGGGACAATGAGGTGATATGGGACGATTCTGAACACTGGAGCCCCGGCAGCCACTGTAGGTCTTCACAGTCACAGGAGCTGCCTCCTTCTCTGAGTCGGTAGACTCGAGGGACAGGAGCCAGGGTACTCTTGTCTTGATGTCTGAGTGGTCACCAAGTAGGAAAGCACTTCTTTGAAAACCTGTCCCCTTCCTGAGAGGGAAAGAAGAAAATATCTGTCTTAGCTTATAGAAATAATTTTATTTAAAAGTGAGTTGGAAATTGTTGATATTAATTGGGAATACTTCTGTTCAAAACAAACCTTTTTATTAAAAAAACCCCTCAGATTTAATTCTTGAAATAGGGATTACTTTGAAGTTTTGGCAAGAAAAGTGAGTTCCACAATACAATAATACTCCTCCAAAACTCGTGTGAAATACCTGCTTTCAAAAAAGCAAACAAGGGTTCTTGCTATTCTAGTAAGCACATTTATGCTGTGTTAGGAGAGCATTGTTGGATTCTGGTTGTCTTCCTAAAGTGTTTGCTGTTATTTTAGATAATCCAAAGCTTATTTTAATGTTATAGAAGGAGAACAAGGATAAAGAAAGAGCCACTGAAATTTGACAAGTATTTATTTTAGCCTTTAGTTATAAAGCCCTTCTCAACCAGTTCTGTTCACACTGTCTGAAAAACTCAAAGTCAGTTTAGACTTATGTTTCCTGCACCCTTGTCCTATTACCCTGGGTGAATCAGTGGGCTTAAAATGGTAATAAGGTAGACAGAAGAAGAAAGGTTGAATTCCATTAGCCATTGATGGCATAGAGACTCATAGGTGGAATGATAAACTCACAAGTTGTACCTTCTCCACTTTAGGATATTCCTGTCGATTGGTGTCACAAAATATGGCCCTTATCCTCCTGAAGGAAGATTCTTTGGATGTAAGTAGTTTATCAAAAACTGTGTCTTAAATAGCTGTATTAAACCCTTTGATTGTACTATGATTGTTAATCAGAAGATTTTTGTCGGCTACAAGCTTATTATAAAACCAGTATGTTTATATTCATGTTATGAATGGCTATTATAAAACTTTATCCTTAAAAGTCAAAATACTAAGCTTGGACTACTGCCTCATGACAATATTTTACTCACCTACAATTGTGTATTTTAAATGTGATAGTATTAATCTGGTTTAGCTTTCATCGTAAAATACAAAGCAATTTACACAAAATAATGAGACTTATTATAATTTGCATTAAGTGAAGATGGTAATCCCCAATTTTACATTACTAAGGAGACAGAAATTTCATTCTGGAACAAAGCTCAAAATAATGACAACACTCAAGTGTTAGGAGTTGAATTAAGTACATATTCTCTTAATTCCCCAACACCCAGATACCACCAGCTCAAGAAGGGAGACTTGGACAACATGGTTTCCATGTATTTTAGAGACAGATTACACCCCCCACCCCACCCCGCCATTGTGGCCTAGAACCAATGATGAGACCAGGAGCAGAAGCTGACTCAAGGGTAGCCAGTGACCTGTGAAATTGTTGGATATGATAGTATGAGAGAAGTATAAGACTCCATTTGTCAAGACTTTTAACAAGTTCCTGGCAGTACCCAGAGCCTCCCATCTAGACAGGACATTTTGTACAAATGCTAGGAATAGATGACAGGAGTGGTTACACTTTTAAAGGAGGAAGATTCGATACAGAGGTTTCTATTTGTACAAATTGGGAGGCCATGAGTCCAGCTATGAAAACCAAGATGTTCTCTATCCCTTCACAACCCCAAGGGCAGAAGTCAAGGAGAGAGCTCTTGACTTTGTATATCTCCTAAGGTGCCACTGCTAAGATGCTGCCTATATTAGTCACTTTCTTGTCCCTAGTAAAAAATACCTGACACTTGCATCTTAGTGGAGGGGAGGTTTATTTTGGCTGACAGTTTCAGTGGATTCAAGACTCCAAAGAAATGGCACAGTGAAAGGGTATGGTGAAGTAAAATTTTTTACTACATGGTTGCCAGGAGGAAGAGAGCCAAGGAAGGAGCCAGGGATGAAAATATACCCTCACAAGTCATGCTTCCAGTGACTTGCCCCTTATGACTAGGTCCTACCTCCAGTCTTTGGAGGCCGTTTTAGATCTAAACCATAACAATATGCTCCTAGCCCCCAAAAGACTCAATTCTATCCCATTATACAGAATATATTTAGCCCATCTCTATGAGTTTCCAATCTTAACAGATTCAGCATTGCTGAAAAGTCCAATCCAAAGGATCCTCTGAGACTCAAAGGAAACTCTTAGCTGTGACCTTTTGTACAAATCAAAAAGAAAGTTCAAATATTTCCAATAAACAATAGCACAGGGTTAACATTCTCATTCCAAAAGGGAAGAATAGGGGGACAGAAAGTGATCAGACCAAAGTAAGACCAAAACCCAGTAGGGCAAACATTAAATCCTATAGCTGCATACAGGGCAGGCTGTGGTGAGATGTAAGGCCCAAAGGGTTTGGGCAGTGTTGCCCCTTTGCAGCCCAGATGGTCTTGATTTAGACTGGCTCCACTCATTGCCTGTGGCTTCCTGCAGCAGATGTTCCACGTTCTTGGCATTCCCAACTTCCTGGGTCTCTAGTACACCTTTGGCTTCACTCTCACACCTTCACACACTGCCTTCTCATGGGCTTCGGCAGGGGCTGTGACACTGTCACACATTTTCACTTGGCCTCTCAGGTGGCCTCTAGGTGAAAGCCTCTGTGACTCTATAGCCCTTATATTCTGCAAGATCAAACCAGCACAACATGGATGGCACTAAGATCAGCTTAAGCAGTAGCCAGGCCCCCTTGGACCATGACTGCTGTGGCCTCTGAGTTCCTAAATGGCTTAACTTGGGGATACACTTCCCTGTGCATCCCAGGGACTCTCTTCTTCCTAGGCCTGTGGTAGGTGGAGTCTCGTTGATTTCTGAGATGCTCTCAAGGCATCTTTTTGTTCCCTTAAAAGTACTTGGCTTCTTTTTAAGGCTAATCTTTATAGGAATCATGCTTTCTTTTGCCTCCTCTATAGGAAGTTCTTTTCTGGTGAAACTGAAAACTTTTCAAATCATTTAGCTCTGCTATTTGCTCCTAATTTTTATTGTGTATCTGGCTAAAAACAGTCAAAAGTACCTATGTCACAGCCTCTATATTGGGATATCTTGAAATTTTCTCCACTAGATTAATTAATCTGCTGCCTTTAACATGTTTCCACTGGCTTGAACCACTGGGGCTACATGCATAACTGTCCCATCAGGTAGCTTGTACCACTAGTGGTACAAATGGATCTAATCACTTTTATTGGTCTTTTTACTAATAAAATTAATAAAAAGTGTATAAATAGACTGAATCTAGTTAGTTTCTTGCATTTGAATAATTACTACCCAAATATAAATACTAATTAATACTATTCATACCAATTAAAATTATTACAATAATCAACAAATTTATTTCATTAAATTAAAAGACATTTATTATATTCTTGTATTTCTTTAAAACATTTTATACATATAAGTGGCTGATTTGTGCTGTGTGCTAAGAATGTCATATGTGTTTGGCCTTTTTTGTGGGCACAGCAGCAACCATTTTTTCTGGTAATTTTTGATAACATGATTGCTTATGTGTGTTTCTTGCCAATTCTAAATAAGTTTCTATAAAGTGAATGGTTTTTCAAGTAATTTGTGCCTGTGGCATTTCTTTATGGGTTAATAGTTCATCAGTAATTAATTCCCTAAATTTTAACATGAAAATCATACAAATACCCCATTGCTGGTATATATAATACATATGTACAGCTGCTGTACCCCAAATTTGCTGTATTACAATTTTTTTATACCATTTTAATATTTTCCTTAAGGAAATGTAATATGATGACATCTGGTCTGCTAAATTAACACCTTTCTTTGCATTATTGTAATCAAAGAAAAGATCAGGTTTTATGTTTCCAAGTTTTCCTTCATTGTACATGTATAATTTTTATAAGTTGGTAACATACAAATGGTTCTTTTATCAGTCCATTTATACCAGCATAATTTTCAAAGCTTATGATTTCACCATATTTTTGCTTTGTCTTTACTTGTACTGATAAAAATTTTCAATTTGGCTTTCTGTGCCACAAAAGTACATTTCTTTTTGTAGAATTTCTTATGCTAGGGGTATGTTTGAATAATAGATATATGCAAATAATGTACAGTGTTCAAATGATAAGCTATTCAGTAATTTCAAAATAATATCATAAGCATGCCCATGCATCCAAGGATTTTCGCTTTTTCCAGCACAGACATGTAAATCATAAACATGTGAATCATAGACATGTAAATCATGTTTACATAGACATGTAGACTATTAGGCAAATATAATTTATAAAATTTTATGCTGTATTTGTGTCCTTTTATGTATTGGCAAAGATGCAGGTCTCCTCACTATTGAATCATATTTTCATCTATCACTGCATCTTTTTCAGGTTTTAGTGCATTTTTGAAAATACTAATAATTTCTTCCATGATTTTTCTAAATTTATTCAAGGGACTGTTGGTTCTGCATGTGATATTGTCACAGTAATGTGAACAGTTCAAAATAGCTAAAAATCAATCACATTGCATGGTGTTCTTTCTATGTCTATTGGCAAGCATATTATTTTCAGACTAATGCAATCTAATATCTGGTAATGGTACTATCTCTATAATTAATAATACAGCTCTAAAATTTTTCATCTCATTAATTGTAACAGATTCCTAGCATTGCTGATATTTTCTTAAAGCTTCATTGAATGGCATATCTGTTTCTTCATCTGTAATTTTGAGTATATTATTTGATATAAATAATTTATACAATACAAAAGTATCACTGCAATTAATATTTACTAGTAGTTCTGTGTTTTGAAGTTCCTTGTGCTCACGTTTTATCACATTTCTTTCTATTATTGGCTAACATACTTCCTTTTGATCTTCTACATTCATTTCCAAATCCGCACTATGTTCAATGAATGTATTATTCACAAAATTACATTTGTCTACCTCTAATGCATCATCATCTGAAGACTAATACATTGGTTGTGAATTTTTCCTTTCATGAGATATAATTGCAGATTTATCTGATGAGTCATCCCTTTTCTGTGTTTGATACTTGCGTGGGAAAAATTTTACAAAACCGAAATACTCTTAAAATTGAAAAATTAATAAGCTATATTATACATATGCTTACTATTATACATATATGCATATAAAAATTATATTTTACTTACAAATGAAAGTCCCAAATGAAAATGAGAACCATCAAGGAACAACAAAGGAATAAAAGAGAAATTTACCACTGAGCTTTATCAGAGCCCCCTGCAGCAAGTTCCCATCTCCTGCGCAGTGCTATGGTGTAAAATTAAAAGAAAAACTCAAAGACAAAATTAAAGAGACAGAGAAATGGGGAACCAGGATGACCAAAGCTTGTGCAAGCAAAGTTGAATAAACAAAAGCCCTAAACATCCAGAGCTGTTGATGCTTATTGGTGACATCACAATTGGATTGAGGTAAAATGGCTACATGGAGGGACTATGTGGAATTTCTACAGAGACATTTCTGATTCAGGCAATACTTGTAAAGGAAGAGACAAAGCATTCTTGAATTAGGAACAGAACAGAAAAAATATAGGTTGTCTTTTTAGTAAAGAAGGTTTTAATTTTGGGAACAGAATTTGAGTCACTCTGACCTCAGCATGTAGGCTTTGGCCAGACTCACTTCTATGAAGAAGCCAGTTGCAGGGTTAACTCTTTATAGCCTGCACTGCTTACAGCCTGCTTTGGGCATAATCAGCAAGGCCATCCCCCACAGAGCTTGATAACCTAGCCATGAAATAAGAATGACTGTTTTTATTTTATCATATTATATTAACAAAAGAGCATACACAGATTAGCCATATAACATCAGATGATTGAATTCAAACCAGCAGTGAGACATGTGAATTAAATCACAGACAACTGGCAATGAGACATATGAATTACGGCTCCATTGTGTGTGTGTTAATCTTAGTCTTCCACAGAGTCTCAGAACATGGGTAAAATTTTCTGCCAGAGCATAACACAAATGGCCTTTCATCCAACTGCCAGTGCAATTTGTACTTGTTCCCAGTACTGAGACTGGTCTTTACTATCTGAATTCCTATTAGCATTTTGAGCTCTCATCAATATCACACATGAAGCTGTTCTTACAGCATTCTAAAGTTTCTCTAGCCCAAATCTCCTTTCCAAACCTTTCCAAATTCTTTCCATAAACCATTTCTGAAGGCTTCTGAACCACATGGTCAGGTATAGCCGTAATAGTGTATGTGCTGCCGAAGCAAGCACAGGTATAGCCGTAATAATGGCCTCATTCTGGATTAGTCACTTTCCCATTATTGGGACAAAGTATACAACACCCACAACTTAAAGAAGGAGAGGTTTATATTGGCTTACAATTTTGGTGAATTCAGTCCATGGCCAGCTAGCTCCAAGGAAGAACTGGCTTAACAGCATGGCATGGTGGAGGAAGGCTGCACAACATCATAGCCAGGAAGCACAGCGAGGAAGGAGCACTTGAGGATGAGGATATACCGTTTCAAGTCTTAACCCCCGTGACCCACCCTTTTTGGCCAGGTCCTGCCTCCAAATGTGAAAATTTTAGGGGAAATTTTAGATTTCAACCGTAACAGTACTTTTGGTTTAGGTGCTTTAGGATTTATCTCAGTGTAGCTCGTATCTTTGTTCATGTCATTGCCTGGACGTCAACTTTCTACCACTGTAAAAAAAAAAATACCTGTGATAATCAACTTGTAAAGAGAAAACGTTTAGTTTGGCTCGGCTTTAGGGGTTCCAGTCCATAATTGGTAATAATTGGTTGGCTCCGTTGCTTTGGGCCTGTGGAGAGGCAGCACATCATAGCAGGAATGTGTGACAGAGCAAAACAGCTTATCTCATGGCCAGGAAGCAAAAATAGGAAGTAGAACAGGCAGGGTTCCTATGATTCCCAGGTTGTATCTCATCTTCTGTACTCTACTGTTCACCTGCTCTGCAGTACCAAGGAAGCCTCACCTGTGTCCTAGGGTTCTAGTTTCCCAGCACTCCCTCTTGCACTTATTTTTCTTCTTCTCTGTAGAACTATTCGTCATTGGAAATATCACGTATGTATATATTCACTGTGATCAATACCACCTTAGCCATCTTGTCATCATCTCTGATTATTTAGCTATTATGAATAATGCTGCTCCAAACACGAGGAAATAAATATCTCTTCAAGAGCTTGTTTTCAGTTTCTTTGGGTATATACCCAGAAGGTGAGTTGTTGGATCATATGATAATTTTTAGGTTTCAATTATTTTTAGCCATACTGTTTTCCACAGTGCTTGGAGCATTTTACATTCCCACAGTGCCGATGAGGTTCCAATTTCTCCACATTCGCCAACACTTTTTGTTGTTAACAATTTAAGAAAATTATTTCATGATTTTGATTTGAATTTTCCTAATAATTAATGGTATTAAACATCTCTTTATATGCTTGTTGGCCATTTGTATAATCATCTTTGGAGAAATATTTTTTCAATTCTTTGTACAATTTTTTCAATCAGGTTATTTATTTGCTATTATGAAATACTTTATATTTTGTCTGTCTCCCTTTAGTCTCTTAGGATGTAAAGTCTATACATTAAAATCTGATTTTTGTTTAAACTGGGGATCTCCACCTTCAAGACAGTGTTTTCACATATTTGGAACTCAGTAAATGAATGAATGAATGAAGAAACTTAAGGGTAAGTTTCCCACTATCAAAAAGAAATTGTTTAAAAGTAACGCTAATGAGTGAGTGGCTACAGTAGCCATGATGGGCCAAGTGCAAGCTGAGGGTACTAGGGTACAGAAACTGAGTATGCCAAAGCAGCCTATTGGTGGAAAGCAGAGTAGAGTGCTGATGGAGAGAGAGTCCCAGTAGCTGGTGGGGGGGGTGCCTACCCAGAGTATTTGGACCTGAGGCTCCTTTGTTTCCTGATTATTGCCCAGTGTCAAGGAGCCTAAAACTTTAGATTACGGAGATAACTCAGAGATGGACATGTATTTTCCCTTCATATAAGGTGTCTCTGGAATCCAAGAGATGGACTGTCACTCTGCAGAGCTCCATCAGACTCGAACAGTTTTAGTCTTCTGGTTTACCTGACCTAAGTGGTGTGTGATGCCACACTAGAAAACTTTGTGGGTGTGTGCCTGACTTTCTTAAAGGACAACTTGTTCAGAATGATTCTTCCTTAACCAGTTTTGAACTTCATCTTTTAGTATAATGACATTAATATATTCTGTTGAGCAAAGATGAACTTTCTATGTATTTTTTGTTCATTGCTCAAACGGTATCAAAAATTTCAGTGTCCACTGAGGAGAATCCCCACCCCCCTGCTATTTTTTAGCTGTGTTAAAGGCATCCTTTTTCCATGAAAATTTTATTTGCTAAATGTGGAACGAGGCAAAGTCCTAAGACATTAAGTTAGATAAATAGCAGATGCTTAGTGAAGCTTGCAAGTTGAGTATTAAGATCTTAGGCCTCTGATGAGGAAGTAAACAGGACAGAGACAAAGGAAATGGCCTGAGAATGGGAAATTTTGGGGCCAGCCTCTTTGCATTTCTTCTGGAGGTTTGGCCTCCAGTGCAGCAGTATTCAGAGGTGGGACTTTTGGGAAGGTAGTTGGATCCCGAGAGCTGACCTCATCAGTGGATTGATCCATAGATTCAGAATTTGGAAGGTGGTGCTTACTCAAAGGGCATAGGTACTTACGGACTGTGTCTTGTGCCAAGCTCCTTTCTCTGTTGCCCTTCCATACTTTCTTTGCTTTCTGGTTGTCAGGAAGTAAGCTACATTCTCCTCCTTATACTCCTGGGCCCAAGTTATTCTGCTTTAGGCTCAAAGTAATGGGGCCAGCTGACCATAAACTGAAGCTTCTGAAACGGAACCAGAATAAACCTTTCCTCCTTTGGGTTGTTTATGTCAGGTATTTTGTCACAGGGATGAAAGATGAACTAACACAGTCTTTCATATAAGTGTGAGAAAATAAGAAGCTTATCTCAGGAAGATTGAGCTGGCGTGTATTGCCTTCGCTTGATCAGGAAGTATGTCCAGGTAGGACATAGGTGGTAGAAACAATTAGAAATCATCTCTGTTCAGAGTTTTTCTGTTGCCAACAAGATGACATTTAAGTTATGTAATATAGATGACATCAGTTGTCTTTGAAATAAGGCAGAGGATGGTGTTCACGCTGGGGGTACTAGATGATATGTTAGGATGCTAGCAAAACACTGCTGTGGTTTTCTTTGCTTTTCTTTTCTTTTTTTAGGTTGAGAAAAAAGCTCTGAGAGATTAGCTTTATTGAATTCCTCCTGGCACCTTTGACCCTTGTTTCTGGCATACTGACCAGAAATGGCTCTGGGGAGAATGCGTAGGAGCAGGAAGGTGTGCAGGTCCAAATAAGAAGGCTTGTCTCTGGCGCTTCAGCTCTTTTGTTTGTTTTTAGCCCATTGTGAGATATTGTCATTTGCATGTACTGCTTAAATGGAACTTGCACAGATACTGGTTTAAAAAGATGAGAGAAAGAAAAAGAAAATTGAATTGAGGGTAGGTAACAGCAGTAGTGTAAGCAAGAGCTACAGTGATGTGTCATTGCTGGTACTTGGCTGGTTCAGGCCGTTCTTCAGTTACTTGATGAGTTAAAATAATGATCAGTTTGGACAAATTTTAAAAAATTCATAGCTAAGCTCTTGCCCTAAATATATGGCATATGATATCTTAAAATGTTAGCTGTTACAATATAAAATTTTAAGAATTAGTGAGACTTTTAAAGCTGAAATTCTGAATATATGAACAAAAAGCAACAACTTTACTAGCAATTTGTTTAAAAAGAAATCAGTTACATTCCAAAATTTCACAAAATATACTATTAGTTATTGAATGATAAATGTCTTTTGATATTTATTAGTAAAAGACAAAAAGCATCAACCTATCTAGGGGACATTTGTTTTGCCAGCTGTGATGATACAGAGAATACAATATAACAACAATTAAATTGAGTATGGATGGAAGACCTACGAAAATATTGCTAGGAATTTCTAAGAAATAAATAATTGAACTAATTATGAAATATAGGGGATTTGGTATATTTTTAGATAAAAGTGCAGCTGATTTTAACACCTGTTAACTTATAGAATATATCCAATCTGCTATTTTTAACCAACCATCAAAAAAGGATATATTGTCAAAGATATATTTGCTCTTCATCAAGCATTACTTTCTTAACACAAATGTTTTAGGAAATAAGTATGTTTATCAGTGATACAAAGGCTGCTTAGGAATGAAAATGGAATCATGTAAAATTAAAGGCATTGATGAAAGAGGCTTCATAATCCAGTATCCAATATCCATATCCCAATTGCTGGACACGGCCATGAGTTTAAATTTTCAATTATGGAATGTGAGAAGTGAGGCATGAAACTTCTGCAGTACCATTGAGAGGAAAATCCCTGGCCCGAGTTCCGTGATTCTTCTGTTTTTCTGGCTGGAAATGGCAACTGTTTGAGCTACTCTGGAAACAATATGTT